AGCAAGCTGCATCATTTAGTTCCAGACACATAGCAGAATATGCTTCACCAATTTTAGTGATATCGTCGATATTTGCAACTGCAATATTTTCACTAGCTTTTTTTATTTTCGGAAAAAAAAATCTCTATTTGGATTTGCTAGGCTATTGCAAGTATCTCCCGTGATATCGTCACGTGAAATCGTCGATATTTGTAACTGTATTATCTCCTATTTTATCATTACTGATGATATTGTCATTTGTATTTTCTGCTAATAATTTATTTTCATTTTTATCAGAAGAAATTTCACTACTTAAATTTGTTTAGCTACTACAAGCATTTTCCGCCTCTGATGTTTTTGCTTTTTCCGAATGTAAGGATTTACCTTTCTCTTTTATCTGATCGAATTGAAAAAATTCACTATTTTTTAATAAAAACATTTATGCTTGCTACCTCCTTCCCCACCTCCTGCTAGCTATTGCTTATTGTTGTTTAAATTTTGAACTAAATTGTAATTATCTATTCTTTACATTTTTTATTTGTTCCTTTAAGTAATTTTCTTTCACTGATAAAAAATGTTTTAATAATTTTAATTTTTCATTCATGTTTGATAAAACTTATGCATTAGATCAAAAAACATTCTTTAGATAAATTCTGTTTAAAATTTCTGATATGTAAAGGACCGTATATAAACTCTGTTTAAAACTCGAATTAATTTAGGTATAAAGTTTAATTTTATTTTAATTTAAACTATAAATATTTTAATATATCTACATAATAATAGTTTCTTTGTTGTTAGCTTTTTAGGTCAATACTTAGTTAACTAATATTCAAGTCTAATAATTGTATAAAGTACAAAAATCTGGATTAAGACAATAAAAAAATAGTCAATGATCAGCCCTGTATAAAACAATTAATGATCGACCGAATTAATGATCACACATTTATATTTTTCGATCGATCGAAAAATATAAATGTGTGATAAACTGATGTATTTATTGCGCAGATATAACTTTAGTATTAATATAAAAACAATAATAACAATATTGAAAAAAAACCATTAACACCAGTTTATTTAAATTTATATTATTTCTAGATTTCATACAATTTTCAAATGACATTAACATAAAATATCCGATATAGAAAAAACCGGATAATGTAATTATCCGGCCAGATATCGGATAGCAAATAACACTCCTATTCCGGGCCGGATATCCAACCGGATAGCTTATCCGGGACACCCCTAGTTATTAAAAATATAAGCGAAAGATATTGTTGACAAAGTAACTGAAAAAGTAGGTAAAAATAAACTAGAAAATCTAACTTACCATAAAGATGGATGATGGATTGTCATGTTTAAATCAATCAATGATACTAACCCAATAACTAAAAATGAAATTGACTTAACCAAATGAATTATACCTTTAGCCTTCACAAGAAAAGAAGATTACGGTTTTCTTATAGCAATCAAGTGTGACCCTACAATTACAGAAAATGAACTCTCTGAAAAATGAACACCATGTATTGAAGACATTATTTCTGTAAAACATACAACATTTGGTTTTGATAAATCAATCGAAGGTAGTAGATGACTATTTAGAGTAAAACTAAAAGTTTTGATCAGGGACACACACACCATATTAAAATAAATGGTGCAAAAATCGTATTACACTTTGCTGGAAAAGAATTTTTATGTAGAAACTATAACAACACCCATGCACCGAGAGAAAGACGTCTTACAAATTCAGCTGCGACTATTAAATCGCAAAATACCAATAACGAGAATAACCTACCTACAAACGATAAAAACAATTAAATTCAAGAAAATAAAGAAGAAACGACGTCAAAAAAATAACCCATGTTCCAATTCACTGCTCCGACACCTTTGCCCACAAATCAAGTTTTAACAAGAGTAAAGGTATTTACCTTAGGATTTTATTTATACAAAAAATAAAAGAAACTTTTGATTTTTTAGGTAAAAAGAACTATGCCCTACCAAGCTTGAAAAATAAAATTAAAGCTACTCAAATAGAGTGCCAATCAGCTTTTGACAAAGCAAGAAAGCTTGAGCGAGAAAACGTTAATAACCTTGTTGAAAATCTTACTATCGTAGAGAAACCCTTTACTTAAGTTAAATCTAAATCACAAAAGAAGATTAAAAAAAAAAAAAGAAGAAAAGAAGACGCTAAAATTTTAAACGAGAGCAAATTTGATGGCAATTCGGTGACGGACATTACGATGTTAAATAATGTAAACAAAAAAAAATGGATACACCCTCAAACGCCTATAAAAGAAAAACCGATGACGAAAGATAAAAAAAAATATATACATATATATATATATATGTATATATATATATATATATATATATATATATATATATATATATATATATATATATATATATATTTATATATATATATATATATATATATATATATATATATATATATATATATATATATATATATATATATATATATATATATATATATATATATATATATATATATATATATATATATATATATATATATATATATATATATATATATATATAAAGGTAAATGATTTTATTTATACAAAAAATAAAAGAAACTTTTGATTTTTCAGGTAAAGAGAACTATGACCTACAAAGCTTGAAAAAAAAAGAGTCCATAGAACAGCTTTGTAATATTCTAATATATATGTATATATTAGAATAAAAAAATGAAATGTAATTATACTCAAATCAGGCAAAAAGTTCTAAATATTCAAATCAAATACTAATTGTGAAATGAGAGTAAATACGTTTGAACATAAATATCAAACAAGAAATATTTTGAATTGAAAATTTAATTTGGAAAGAAACGCACGTGACTATTTTGTTTTGTAAGTTCTGAATTATTTTCTTTAAAAAACAGGATTTACTTTTTATTTGGATTTTTTTTTTAATTTTTATAACTGTATTTGAGTCTATTGAGAATTGTATTTTATAATTGTATTTGAGTCCATAGAACAGCTTTGTAAAACGAGTTTTTCTTTTTACTTTTATTACGATATCTTTGTAGTTTTTTTTTACGAGGGTCAATAACTAGCTGGATGACCAAATAAATTACAATACATATATTGATTATTAATAATAGATATTGATATATAATGATTCATAAAACACCGCTTTAAATATTTAAAACAGATATCTGTTTTGCAATTAGCCGGAGAAGGATAAACCACCCATAGTAATATATATTTATTGCTTTGAAATTTAAGTTACGAAGGGTATCAAGATTATAATAAAAGCTGATTATAAAAAAAGAAGTTTATTTTTTTAAAGTTTTTTAAAAAATAAAATAATTTCATTATTCTGATTATAAAGTAAAATTAATAGTCCTAAACTGAAAAAACTATATATATATATATATATATATATATATATATATATATATATATATATATATATATATATATATATATATATATATATATAATTCGATATTATATATATATATATATATATATATATATATATATATATATATATATATATATATATATATATATATATATATATATATATATATATATATATATATATAATATCGAATTATTGAATGTTCAGTGTTCAATCAATAGTTTCAAGTACCAGTTTTTCTAACCAAGATTTACAGTAGTATGAAAAAATTAAATTTGAGATCTTAAGGTAGTAGGAATTGTGTTACTGCCAGATCTTTAGGTAACAGGAATTGTGTTTCCTAAGAAGAGAGGCAACATAGTTTTTAAATTCAAAATTGTGTCTTTTTGTTTTATATCCTTAAACTGGATATTGAGTAATCTAATCTTAAAAAGTAGAATGATCTAATCAATTGACTTGAATGATTAGTTGACTTGGTCACAAAATTAATTAGTAATAATAAAACAACTTGTCTTTTTTCGTCGCTTTTTAAATAAATTGATCATTCAGTCAGAGTCTGAACTTTTAAACCACCATTCTTATTTTACCATTCTTCATCATTCTTATTTCATTATTCACCATTCTTATTTCATCATTCAATATTCTTATTTCATCATTCACCATTCTTGTTTCATCATTCACCATTCTTATTTCATCTTTCTTCAACATTCTTAGCAACTTTTAGTAAAAAATACGCTTGTTTAATAATATTTCTGTTGTTATATCTGTTCTCTGAGAAAAATTTTTTTTTTGCAGTAATCTTTATTAAATGTTAATGTAAACTTTATGTGAATCTTTATTTTGCACTTGACTATATAAAGCAGAAATATTATTTTTTTCACTTATGCTTACAAAAATTAAATCTGCATTTTTTTGGGGCAAACCTGATCTTAGCCTTGAAACCATAATCAACCAAGAATATACACTGTATATAAAAGAAATACACTGCATATAAAACCAAAGATAACTTACCATCTGCTGTGAACTTTTTTCCTTTTAACTAACTGTTAACTTTAACTCTTTTAACGTTTTGATGTAAGTCAACTCTATTTAAAGTTTCAAATACATTATGTAACTTTAAGACAATTTACATAAATGTATTTTAAATTTAAGATTTTTATCCTAAAAAAAATATTTATGCAAAAAGTAAAAAAAAAAAGTTAAAAAAGTATTAGGTATCGTTTTAATATTAAGTTTTAATTCGCGTCACTTTGAAACATTTATTTATTTTAGTGATTGATGAGCTTGGTTTATTTGTGTAATTGTTATACTTTTTAATTTTTTTTTTGCACAAGGTTAAACAAAAGGCTTAGGAACTACAAATTTAAAAAAAATTGGTAAATATAGCCAACGAATAACTACGTCATATAGAGGCAAATAAAAGTTTAGTCAAAATAAGGACATTTTATGGAAACATATTTTAGAGGAACATTAAAAGAACAAAATATAACATTTTTTATGTAAAAAGAAATCTATTTATATAATACAATAACAGCAATGGTTATGCAAAGTAACTCTTATGAAAGTTATTGTGTGCTTTGTATAAGAATAAGTTTATTAATTAAAAACAAAATGAAAACAAATGCCTATACCTGAACGAGACTTGTAGATTTGTAAAAATTTTTCTGAATCCTTAATAAATCGTTCTCTATCTCTAACTCCTCTTATCTCCATCAGTTTTTCAACATAAAAAGAAAATGAATTTTCTCCTAAAGGCATCCAATGCCATTTTTTTTTTCGTAAAAATGAATCAAAATTTGATAAAACACCGCCTAAAGAATTGTAATTAGGTATTCCACTACTATCATTGTTTTCGATGCTTACCATGCGAGTCAAATAATCGCGGCTATTTAACAATCGGATGCAATATTCAACAGTGACGTTATTTTTTAGCTGTAACCATTTTGAAATATTGATATTATTTTTTAGTAAAACGGTAAAGATGTTTTCTTCGTCTAAAGACGAGTTTAAAACTGTTGGATTTATAATAGTGTCGATTTCTTTTATCGTGACCATGCTATCTTGCTGTTCTTTTTCTCCGTCAACATTATCGTATTTTTCGATGATTACTGTTTTATTTTTACTTGATCTTTTCCTATTTTTAAAAATATTACCAACGCATGCCATTATTACATGTAAGCAAAACCAATAACCTTCATTCTTAAAGACTTTTGAATAAATTCTGGAAGAAAAAAAATAAAGCTAACATGAAGCTATAAATAAATGAAGAATAAATAAATTTTTTAAGTTAACAATTTAAAATAAATCTAAAAATAAAATTTAAAAAATATAAAATATAAATAAAATAAATAAAAATATAAATAAAATAAATAAAAAAATATAATACTTTAAAAGTAGCATTTTAAAAATTAATTTTAAAAAGTAACTTTTTACTTCGACAAAATGAAACATCAACAAACAGCCAGTTTGTTTAATCAACAAAAACTATCAACCAAACAACACACAATGTTGTACAGCAGGTAGATGCCTTAATATCTACAGCAATCAAGTTAATAAATGTTTTAAATACACTTTTAAAAGTACTTCAAAGTTTACTTAGCCAAAATCTTAGCATTGTTTAATGCTTGTATAATTCAATTTTTTGAAGAAGACGTGTTTATGTTTAAAAAACCCCGCTAGATTTTTTTATTTTTTATTGGTATTAGCTGTTTTAATTCTTTCTTTCTCTATTTACTCAAATGCCGTTGTAGAATGTCAACTAGTCTAAGTGTATTTTAAGGTAACTTCTAGTAAATTTTAAGTTTTATAAAGGTCCGCAAGATTTCATTTTTTTGTTACTGTAAACTGTTCGATGCTTTTAATTGCATCTCTTTTTTTAAAGCCGTTTGTATTGATTTATGTGCTAATATACCGCTGGAGATTGTGGTCTACTAGTTCATGTGTGAATGTGTGGTTTAAGGGATAAATTATATCAAATTTATTATCTTTATCTCCATCACCATCATTTATTATAGTTAATTGGTTTCATACGTAAATAATTATTTCCGTATGAAACCAACCATATTGTTGTTAACAAGAGAAGTAGTCAGTATTTTTTACGACTTTTAAACTCAACGCAGAAAAAAATTTGAGAATATCATCTCTGCTATCCAAATTCTTAGTACTCGCCATTCCATTATCCTCAACAACTAAAAAAAATTTATTCATAGATGCCAAAAATACAACATAAATGAACTTAGTTTTAATAAGAATTCGTTTTAAATTTTTATTTTATAATATGGAACCGCAGCAATATTTCAGAAGCAGTAATAATAATATTTGCCCTTTAAAAAACGTAAGTTCTGCTCCAAAAAGCCAATATGCTGAAATAATTGTTCCTGCCTCCTTACCGCCTAAACTCAACACCTACGTCGGATCTCAAAAAATATCGGATAACTATCAGAATGGGGTCAATTTTAAATACGTACGCTAACTCTTTGCTGAACAAAGTCATTAAGCTCAGGTTATAAAACAATAATAATAAATTTAACATGTTACCCAGGGGACGCGGGACTAAAAAAAGAAACTTAGAAGACGTCTTATATAAGTCTCGTGCCACATGGGTAGTTATCAGTGAAACCTGCTTCGACTCAACTGTTCCTGATTGAATGACTACTCTCTGCGGAAAAGAGAAAAAAACACAGTGAAGGACTGGCAATCTATCAAAAAACAAACAGTGGTGGACTAACAATTTATTTCTTTTTATTTATACACTGTTAAAAATTCCCGTACTTTTACGGAATTATTTTCCGTTATTTGTACGGACACTACCTATTTAACAAAAATGTACGGAAACTTTCCTTCTTTTAACATAAATTTTGAAACACGGAAATTTCCGGTTTTATTATGGAAACTAAAGTAAAATTTTAATATAAAAACTTGTCACATTAAAAAGCAATTTTAGATTTTTTAGCTAGCGCGTTTTTTAAATATAACCAATTCTAGTTTATGTGTGTATGTGTATATATATATATATATATATATATATATATATATATATATATATATATATATATATATATATATATATATATATATATATATATATATATATATATATATTGGAACACTACGGTGTTCGAGGTAACACTCTCCAATGGTTTTCATCATATCTTTTTATTAGATCGCAATTTGTCTCCATTAATGATGCCAAATCTTTTCCAATAAAATGCTCCACTGGTGTACCCCAAGGTTCTGTATTAGGACCACTGCTTTTCCTTATTTTTATAAATGATCTTAATATCTCTCTAAAATTTTCAACGGCTTACCATTTTGCTGACGACACCAACTTACTCATAACTAACAAATCATTAAAAAAAATTAACAAACATATTAACCATGATTTATCTAACCTTCTTCAATGGCTGCGCTCTAACAAACTAAGTCTTAATACCAACAAAACTGAACTCATTATTTTCAAATCTAATCAATCTAAAATGTGTAAAAACCTAAACTTTAGACTAAGTGGACAAAAAATTTTTCCCTTACTTTCATTAAAATATCTTGGAATCCAAATTGACTCAGATCTATCCTTTTCCTCTCATCTTAAAAACTTAGCAGTAAAATTGTGTAGATCAAATGGGATGCTAGCCAAAATTCGCCACTATGTCAATTATGAAACACTACTTAATATATACCATGCAATTTTTGGATCTCATCTTAGATACGCTTGTCAGGTTTGGGGACAATGCAAGCCTAATGCTTTTTTAAGGTTATGTAACCTACAAAACAAAGCTTTAAAAATAATATTCTTTCAACAGTATCATTCTAACTCTGACATCCTTTACTTTCTATCAAAAATACTCAAATTATGTGATCTTGTTTATCTATTAAATTGTCTATTTGTCTGGAATCATAAACAAGTAAACCTCCCTCCGTCATTCTCCAATTTTTTTACCACTAAAAAAAGTTCTCGTTATTACCTTCGATCTTTGAGTAACTTTAAATTATCTATCCCAAATCGCTGTTCGGTAAAATACGGTGATAATTCTATTACAAACCAATGCGTAAAATCATGGAATAATTTACCTTTTCATTTTCAATCCCTCAACACTTTTTCACAATTTAAAACCCGTCTTTTTGACTTTTTGATAGAAAAATACGCAAATTAAAATCTTAGGCTTATAATAGATTATTATTACTATTGTTATTAGTATTATTATTATATGTGATGTTAATATTACTTACATTTTATTTGCATTTTTATTACCGCCATTATTACTTATTGGAATTGTTTAATATATGAATGTGATATTTGTTAATATTATTATTGTTGTTACTATTGTTGTTAACTTCATTACTATTATTATTATTACTATTATTGCTTTTGTTATTATAATTACTGATATAATCATTGTTATTGTCATTATTATATTTAATAGTATTATTGGTATTATTATAATCGTCTTCGTTTAATTTACATTATTATTATTGTTATTATTGCTATTATTATTATTATTATTATTATTATTATTATTATTGATATTTAAACTTTTCTAGATAATTCAGAAATAATTGGTGGTTTGCCTTTTTATTAATAAGTTTTTCATCTGAAAAGGTTAACATAGATTTAACTTTAATGGCGAATGCCAATGTTCAACTTTTTTGCCATTTAAATCATCTTTTCTTTTAATTCTCACCACGTTATTTTTAACTCTACTAATGGTGGTTATTAAAACTTTGATTGATTTCTTTTCTAAAAATTTCTTAATCATTCTATACGAATATCTAAGTTGTACCAACAATAAAATACGTTCTATAGTTTTTTTTTGTCAAAATGCTTTGTTTACATTAATCTTTTTTTTTTTGCTTATTACTTTAAATATGTGATTAAATTATAAAAAATATTGTTAAATATTGTTTGAACAAAAAGTAATCAAGTTTCAAAAGTCTCTCTCTCTCTCTCTCTCTCTCTCTCTCTCTATCTATTTATATATATATATATATATATATATATATATATATATATATATATATATATATATATATATATATATATATATATATATATATATATATATATATATTTCGAAGACTTTTATACTTTTTAAATATATTTTATTATAGTCTATCAAGGTAGATATTCTGCAAAAAAATAAAAAAGGATCCAAGATAGGTATTGTACTTTAGTTTTTAACAATTTTTAACTTAAGCATAAACAAAAAAATATATATATATATATTTTTTTTTAAATCATAGAAGGTTTTTCATTGATTATATATTTATTTTATTAGTGATGACAATGGACCAGATTGGTAAAAATTATTTCATTTATAAATTTTTAATTTTCTGTTATATTATAGTTATGTGTTATAATTTTTTTAGCTTGCTAAAGGTTAGACCTAAGTAAGTATCTTTATTAATAAATTTTAAATTTGATTTTCGAAATGGTTTTATATTAAATAAAAATAATAATTTGATAAGTTTTCATTATAGAAAAGAAATTTTGGGTTTTATTGTTAAATTGTTGAGTTATTTTGTTAGTAAATTTATTAATTAATTATTGGAATTTGATTTTAAAGAAGTTGTAAAGATTTTTATTTATTTAAAAAAAATGGCGCCAACAATGGCATTAACAGGAAATTCAGTTATTTGGATCATACTTCAATTTAGGTTTTTATTTCTTTTAGGTATTTATTTTTTGCTCATAAGTGTTTTTAACATTATCCAGAGTTGTTTGTTGCTTGGCCTTAGTTAAATCACTCATATTGAATAACAACTTTAAGGTAACCATTGCACATAATGAGTGTTTTTATTATTTATTACTTTGTTAAATATTAAAATCTTTGCTTACTCAAACACTTTATTTTTTTTTTTTTATTTTAGATTTAGAGTTGACTTAAAATGGAAAAGAAAGGAAAGACTGTATTTTTGTGTATTTGGATTGATTTTGATTTACTTATATTTATATTTGTTATTTAACCAATATATATTACTTAAAGATAAGTTTTTAAGTATATCTGTATACATTTAAAATAATGTATATAGGAATATGTAATATAATTATATTATTATGTGCTTGTATATACTTTATCAAAATTGTTCATAATTTTTCAGAAAGTGTTTATTACTTTACTAATTTTTTATTTATTTGTGTATTTGCTGTTGAAGTGAAATGTAAATCACGGAAATTTGTTATCACGGAAATATTTTCAAAAATATGCCATTGATTTTATATATATA